ACAGAGGAAAAGATGTTAAGTTGAATATTTTCAGTTACTAGTAAGTAAAGTCAATCAACGACCAGGTTGTGGTGTCACAATATCTAAAAATTTACAATGAAAACGTTGCTTAATAGGTATATATATATATATATATATATATACATATATATATATATATACATATATATATATATATATATATATATATATATATATATATATATATATATATATATATATATATATATATATATATATACATATATATATACATATATATACATATATATATATATATATATATATATATATATATATATATATATATATATATATATATATATATATATATACTAGCCTTATATGGCTATTCCCCATTCCTTTAATGAAAATGAAAGAATACAAACACATTTAATCCACGAAATTCAGTAGTCTTTATGTCGCTTTCCTAGGATCACTTTTACAAATTGACGATACCACAAATTCCAATGTATTCCCAATGGATAATCGCCTGGATACAAAATATATCAAATGCCACTTCCAGTTTGGACAGTTCTAAAACATTATTGTATTCAAATGGATTATTTAATGTCAAACGAATTTATAGCGATCAAAATTAGTGAGTGAATATATTGTATTCAAAATGAAATGTGAATCAAATATGATAGCGATTAAAATGAGAGAATATATTTATTTGAAATCAAACATATAATATTCGTATTTTTATATTGATATATGTAAAGGCAAAGAGTATTAAAAACAACGATAATGTAACTTTTATTTATTTAAATGCATTTTACAAAAGTTACATAACTTGAATGTATACACTATCGAGTTTAAGCCCTGATTTAGTGCCCCAAAGTTTGACTCTAATTGAAACATTTTTGTTTAATCTAAAAGATGGTTTTCCATGTCAAGTCTTGTACAAGAAAATTGGTCGTTATGGCAACCCCATGTATATGTGTCACAATAAGGCTTTTGTTTAGAAAACTTTACTATTATATAGATTAACAATAGACCCCTCTCATTATTTCTCTTTCAGTTTATTTTAAACTTATTGAACGTTCCTTTTCACATTTATATTACTACGTGTTGTATTTTGCATATTTTGTCATTTCATGTTGGTATTAAATGTTGTTATTGTAGGCCCTATTTTTTTTTTTTTTACCTATTGTAGGCCCTATGTGTTGCGTAATTAATCGCAAAAAAATGCGTACGCTACTGTAAACAGAACTATAGCAACATTTAAATTGAATAATTATTTTTGTACAGATAAAGATTTAATACACTTATTGTGTGTCTATAAACATTAACTGTAACAAAAAATAGAAAAAAGATGCATGAGTTTGTTATACGTTTCTCTGCGAAAAAAAAATAAAAACATTATTTCTAACGTGTATTTTAAGACGTTTCGTGAAAACGAATTTCAATATGCTTTTTATTTTAAGACAATTAAAAACAACTTTTAGGTAGCATCCCTTGTATTATTTCTGACTACAAAATGGGAAGTAACTAACACAATGTATTTTTTTTTCTTTTTTCGCACATGCAATTTCTAAACGACATTTACATACTATTTGCGAAACTGAGAAATAAAATCAGCATAATTGAATCACTATAAAAAAAAAGAGACCTAAGGGTAAACTGTTACACACATTTTGTTACTAGCTGCTATGGTTCTAAGATCTGAGACCCTACTTTCCAAGATAACTAATTAATAATACAATTGTGGAAATACTTTTTTTCTAAAGCAGTACAAGTTCATTGAACAAGTCAACTCTTCAAGTATTATTATCAGCCAGTACATTCAATGTAGGAAAAGTTTGTACTTAGTTTTTATTACAAGGCTTGTTAGTTAAACAAAAATGACATGATATTAGCAGTTTACGACATGTGAGGAGGAAAAGGAAATGGTGGTGAGACAGCTAGTGCTAGAGGGGAAGCCTCTTAGAGATAAAACGTTGGGGTTGGGGGGGGGTGGCTTGCTATTGTTAGATGAGTAGCGACACTACTTGATCAAGGGGACGGGGAAGCAAGCTAATCTTAATGGAGACACGGACACGTGCTAGGATCGGACCTAGTTTAAGGCAGAAGATTTTGCGTGCTAATTTGTTAAACTTAAACATGTACAGTTCTCTGTGTTAACCTTAGTACATTATGCTTATATACAGACAGCTCAGGCGACACAAATACAATTAATTCTAAAAATTGTTCTGTCATTAATTTGTAACATTAGAAGAGACGGCTACATTCACAAGAGATAATCGTCTTTCACGAGCTACTGATAGTGTTTTAAAGCGAAATATTTTTACTTGCAGCATTGTTAGTGTCGAATTTACAAATTATGAAAAGTAGATATAAAAGATAAAAAAAAAACAACAACTAAATAGCCGCTTATGCTACACCGCGGGTCGGCTCGTATTACTATATATGTGTTTTTGTTAGTTGATTCCAATGTGGGCAGTGATTGATGCCTTTTAACCAGCGCATTTTATTACAAGATACTTTTTAAGCGATCAATGTAATTCCCATCATAAATGTTTGTGATCTACGTTTTAGTGGAAGCACATATGAAATATATCGTACATTTAAAAAAGCTCGATAAACATAAATACTTATTTCCCGCTCTATAGACTCGCACATTTTGCTGGTGTATTTTATTCTGCTCGATTATATTATTAAAGTATTAAGACAAAGTATTAAAAGAACATATCTATATCGTCTTATAAGAATATGTGAGAACATTTATAACAGAACATTACCGCTTTACTAATGAATGTTCTAAATACATTCATGTCATTATCAATAGTGTGTGTGTGTGGGGGGGGGGGTGGGGGGGCATCTTAGGGTTCTGTCGATCCGGGCCTTGTCCTACTAGGTAAAACTGAGAATGTACGGTACATAATATGTCATCGTTGTATTGTGTAGCGTGGGGACATCAAAGGCTTCGTGGCTAAAAAACACATGTGCCAGATCTTCCATACTTGAGAAATATAATGTGTTTTTTATTTGCTAATTTACTGCCTAATGTGTGGCCACTAAGGTTAGGTAGAACTCTGCTATTTGTTGTGATTTGCATCATGTTTTATTAGAAATGATATAGGCAATCATGCTCAGAGGAAGGTCATTGATGAAAAGAGTTGGGCTATCGGTTTAAATTATTGTTTTTATGATTGAGAACTAGAAAATACATCTACATTTCTCATAGATTTGAATCTATGTTAAATCTATGTTATACTTTATTTTTTTAAATTTTTATAATAAACACAACAAAACAAAATGTAGGAAAAAAAGTAATTGGTTTAAAGACGATACAATATGTGACTTGTTAAGAAAAATAATGTATGTATTACTTGCAGATCCCCATTGCACTCATTAAAATACCGATGGTTGTTATTTGTATTATGTAACGTGTCTAGCGTCTACAATGTTTAGGTAACTGTAAATTAGGCGCATCTATGTAAAACTAATGTCTTCGATTGTGCTAGATAATATAGAGACAAATAAACAAACAATGATAATTTTAATTTAACTTAATCTTCGCAAACCTACGAAAAGATCACTTACTGAAGTGAATGTTCTATTGCTTAAACTATTGTGTCTTTTCACAATGTACACATTTGATAGGTAGAAATTAGTAAATATTTTATACTAATATAAAGTCATAGTCAGTCAGTAGAATTAAAGTGTAGGGCAGTAGAGTTAGAATTATGAATACATTGTTCGTGCAGAAATTAAATAAACTTTAAAATTTGAAATGTCAATTGCTTGATTTATTATATATTTCCCACTGGGGAAATATAAGCCAGTGTAAGAATACGCAGTAAATACACATTAGTATGTATATACACCTCTACAACATGAAACTAGCAACGATAAATGTATCATCGTGTGTTGTCTAGTCAAGTACCAGACCAAGATGTTACAGAAACGTTCCAACTGTTATCAGACTCTATGCCAACAACGACGTGGTGCTAACATACTTCCAACACACATCCGAGGTCGTCACATCCGTGTCGTGGAGAAAACTACAGACCTGTCTTGTTTACATTTGGCACTTGGAATGAAATACAGACAATTGGTGATGGTGTAGCTTCCATGGACGGCATCATAGTTAACTGTATATTGTACAATGCAGTCACCCAACAATGTAACGTTTCCAAGATGGTCTCTGTTTGGAGTAGACCGTATAAAGCGTTGGTCAAGTTTCCTAGAAAGTATCGATCAAAAAGCAATCAGTTTAAATTTAGCTATTGTTTTTTTTATTTTATTGTTGGTTTATTTTATTTCTGCAGAATAATTTTTTTTTTTTTTTTTTTTTTAAATAATGTATTCTCTTTATTTTTTGTTCTTCAATGCAATATGAAATAATTAACATGAAACAGTCGTTATCCTTGTATCCTACAGGGGTCGGCAACCTGCGGCTAGCGAGCCGCATGCGGCTCTTTTGATATCAAGATGCGGCTCTCCAGCTCCTTGCTCAAATACTAATAATCTTAACAAAAAATCAAATATTTGAAATAAAAAAAAATGTTAGTGGCTCTTTAAAACCAGGGAAATTTTTAAAATTGTAACTTTTGACTCTTCCGTTTCAAAAGGTTGCCGACCCCTGTCCTAGTATATCAAACATCTAGTAGTAATCACAGACAAATTACATAAGGTTCATAATTACAATATCGTTCCTACATTTAGTAACTTTGAGTATTCAATATTAAAAATAATACAAACAGGAAAAACTTAGATATGCAAAGAAATATTTAGATTCATTTAATAAGTTAAATACTTATTTGAATACATTTACTGAGTTAAACACACATTTATTGAGGTAAATATTTGAAAAAATCATTTTTCTCAGGTTAACAAGAGTCAGCAAATTTACTTTCCTAAGGTAAGCCAAAGTTGCCCTTGTGACTTTACATTGCCTTAGTCACCCAATCCAACTGTGAAATCATTTTCGCTGCGCCCCTAACCACGTTGTCATTCAGAGGGATGCCATTTTCATCCAGTGCTTTATTCACCTCTGGTATACAGAAAGTGTTGCCAATGCTTAAACATCCCATGGAGAACTCGCAGTTGCATAGTTACCCTCATGCCACCAAAAACTCCCAAGGAATATGTCACAATCCCGCTGGGTTTGCATGTAAACAAACTAGGGCTGAAGTGACACAGCATGTTGGTCAGGGCTGGAGGAATGACCGAGTTGTACTCAGACGGCAGCAGAACTATGGCATCAGACTCCTTAATTTTTGTCGCACGTTCTTGCATCCATTGCGGTATCTGGGTGCTGTCCTCATAAAAGTGTATAGGCTTTTCAAGCAATGGAAATTTTAAGACTACAGGGTCATGCTATTGAACGTGAAGCGAATCTAGTATCTAGGTTTCTGCAGAATAAAGAAGTAAAAAGACATTTCTAGTGTTGTGTTTAAAGATTATTAAAGCTTTCCTGATTCATCAAGGGTCTAGAAATAATGTAGTTTGTAAAGTCAATAGTTGCTTATTATAACCAGGCTACGGTTATTTAAAAATTAATATCACAACATACACAACTCATATGGTTTCCTATAGTATTTTTATTTGCCTTTTTATTTACGCTGAATTACTTTTAAATTGTTTAAATTTAAATAGTGTTTGTTGTTAGAATATTTGTTAACTTTATTTACTGGTTGTTACCCTTTGCGTAATTATGTGAGTCAAAGGGAAATAATTAATAATAAAACATGCTATACATTTTAGATTAAATTTCAATTTAAAAGAAAATATTGACTGGTTAATTTTATTTCTAGAATGATGAAACATCGTTGTAGTTAGGACAGTAGCATAGTTAGGATATGACATTAGCGCATTTATGTTAGGAAAGTAGTGTAGCTAGAGAGTAGCGTTGTTAGAACAAGAAAGTAACGTAAAAACGGTAGGCGAGGAAAGTAATTAGGTGAAATGTAGCGTAGTTAGGTAGGACAGTAACGTAGTTTGGTGAACGGTTGTTCTGGTTGATCAACAAAATAAACCAGGGCAGTGTCCATGTGAATTGCAGGTTTTAATCACTAAATTCTAGAGTTAAATGGCAAGTAGTATTTCATTAATGTCGTCATATTCTCAAGTTGATGTACCAACTTTCTTGTTGAGTGTGGTCAGTGTGTACTCTAATTGGCAAGAAGATGACTAGGGTGAAAACATTGATATACATACAATGGTTTCTTTTAGACATATTTGTCCCTGTGGTGTGGGTGGGGGAGGGGTCACTTGAAACTATCGAGAGACACTTGAAACCTTCAGTGGGTCAGACACTGGCTAAAGCATATATACACTAATTTTGTTCCTATATTGTCCCAGGTAGTGGAGAGTGTGCAGTGGTCGCACTTTGTATAGAGTTGGCTGAAAGAAACATTGGTACAAACGTACTGGTCATATCCTGGTATTAAGGTAGAGACGGAGATAAATTAAGGGATAAGTTAGGAAAACTCGATAAAGCTGAATGTAGCTCAAACTGATTCAATAGAAACTTAGTTTAGACTATGTCGTGTCTAACGAGTGGCTTATTCCTGGGTAACCTGCCATCCTGGTTATTTCCTGGCTGGACTCTACATAACATTAATCTGTTATTTCTCTTGCAACATCTGTAGCTAGTAATATGCTGGGTAGTGCGGGGTGGGGTGGTTATTGTGGGTGTGGGGGTGGGGGAGAGAGCTAAAGACGCGGACCGTGTGATGTGTAGTAAACAAAGTTAAAACAACAAAGACTGTATCACATGCATGTGGGTCAGTTGAGACTACACAGCAAATTAGATTATTAATTTTTTGTATATTTAAAACATCATTTTTATTTAATGATAACTAAAACAACACAATAATATACAGTTTACAGTGTAAAGTATAATATAATACAATTTCTAGATGCAAAAACATACATCTTTGTTAACCAATAATTAACGTTTAATAAACACAGTTGATGTTTAGATGCATGATAATTATACATGTTGCTTGGTTCTAAAAATGTGACTTATTTTCTCTTCATTTAAAGAACATTAGCTGACTGTAGATTGAACAACATTGTAGAAGGTCGGGGTATTCAAGGGAGCAATTACTGTGACAGTTAATGTAATGTCTTGAATGTTGATAGAAGCTCATGTTTTATCAAAGATGGCGGGGGTAAGTGTCAAGCAGGTTTGTATGTTGTAGGCATACAAATTATGGGACATATGTTGTAGATACACATTGTATGGGATGTATGTTGTAGAGACGCATATTAAGGAACATATGTTGTAGAGACGCATATTATGGGACACATGTTTTAGGCACAGTTATTATGGGACGTATGTTGTAGGCATACATTGTGTGGGATGTATGTGGTAAACACACATGTTAAAACTACAGAAATACATTGTTTACATTTGGGGTGAGTCTTAATACTATAATCAGGCACAGTGACCTTGACCCCGCGGAGAAGGGAAGGAACTGGAACGGATCCATGTTGGCCTGGTTGTCTGGGTGAAACCTCTCTGGGTTGTAAACGTGTAGATCCTCCCACATGTGTGGATTGTGGTGTAGTATCCACAGCTGGATTGTGGTGTAGTATCCACAGCTGGATTGCGACCCGTGTCCCTTTTAGAGCGAATAGAGAAATAATGTCCCATTCAGGGGCGGAACTACAGTGTAGTGTCTGGCTTTTTGTTAGTCGTTAAACATGTGACGTCATTTGCGGATTTCCCCCCCCCCCCTACAGTTGTACACGTAAAAAACATGTTTCTGTCTGTTATGCAAACTGCATCATTAACCCAATCGCCATGAAAACTTGCGAAGCTGTATCATGTATGTTTTGTTTGGAGGTCTAGTGTTGCGTGAGATTGGGGTTGTGTTAAATATTAACCCGTAGCTATTCTCTCTGCTATTTGCTTCTTATGTAAGTTTCTGAAGGTGTCGCTTATATCTTTAAGTTTAAAAATAATTATCAAAAGTATTTCAAGGTCACAATTACAATGGAGCGATAGTTAATGTAAATTATTAAATATGTATAAGATGCGAATTTATTACAGCTATTGCGTTCATTTTAAAGCAAAATGGAACAAATAAATGCCCATTTTTAACAGACATAAAATTATTTCTAATTTTAATAACAGTTATTATCTTTAAAGAAATAAAATAATACCATTTACATTTATAATTCAAGTGTTTCACTAAGCATAAACACTTAACAATTATTTATATTTAGAGGTTGCATCCCTTGCAAACAATGACTTGTTATAATGGGAAGTAACTCGGCAAAATTAATGGTCGACCTGTTCCAGTGCTCGTGGCGTATGTTAAAAATCTTGGCTCCTTAAAGTAGACAAAAAACAATAGACATGGTGCTAAGATACTTCGAACACACTTCCAAGATCGTCACATCCGTGATCTTTGAGTATTGTTCGTCCAGATTATCTTAGTTCGATGTTTTCGTGCCGAGATATCATACCTATGATTACTCCTAGGTAGGCGTTGTCTAGCTAAAAATCGAACTAGATGATTAGCCACTCGTACATTGAAACCACCAAAGTGGCTCTTCTCGAGAGCTTGGAGCGTTCGAGGGAAGTGTGGGGGAAAATCCCTGAACGATCTTGGTTTACATGTTGAGTTGAGTAGATCTAAAAAAGGCCGACTAACCGAATGGCTAAGATTATTGCAATTTCAAGAACATACACTACGCTTTGATCTTAGCAAAAAGGATAATTCGGTTGTGTTAAAACAGGGGTCGGCTACCTTTTGAGACGGAAGAGCAATGCCTTACATTTTTCAAAATTTCCCAGTTTTTAAAGAGCCACTAACATTTTTTTATCTTAATATTTTATTATTTAATTAGGATTATGTATATACATTTGATTTGTTATTTAAAATATATAGCTTTATATATGAAATATTAATTGTTCATATAACAACATACACTTGTTTTGCCAGAATAATGAAATTAGCAATCAAAAATTAAAAATACAGAACTATCCCAATCTACCTGAGAGGAAGTTAACTTTTTTTTTTCTATACGGACATCACAGGCTCAGGAGGTGTCTCCCATTAACCATGCAGGCCTCAACACGGCAAACTCAATCGAACTGACTTGGATATTGGTTTAATTACGGTGTACAGGTCGTTTTTGTCCTTTGGTTCTCAACCAGTTTTATCTTCCACCCCACTGAACGCAGGGTAAACTCGTACCCCATAGTGCAGTACCCGGCTCAACAATAGGAAGCTAATAAAACACTACGTCACTCACGTAAAATTAACTATTACTGATAGATATGGAAATGCATTCTGAATAGAATAGCATTACCCATTTAACGATATTCGAAAAAGTCGGCACTTGAGCAGTGGCAAGCATGGAATTGTTGCCACGTGTCTGTCCCAAGCACTAATGTGGGGCTGGACCTGGTGCCCAAGCGGCTGTCCGTATACTTTCTACTGCGCCTATTCTCACTGTTCTCGCTGTGATTTTATTTCTTCTCTTTAAACCGGTGTGTTTCTTTACAGTATAATAGTTGTTACGAATTTTGAAAAATAAATAATATAACTATTAATATTTATGCAAGGAGCTGGAGAGCCGCATCTTGACATCAAAGTAGCCGCATGCGGCTCCCGAGCCGCATGTTCCGACCATGTGTTAAAACGAAGTTTTTTTTTTGTTGCATTTTTACAGAGGTTTATTTTCAAGTGTGTTATATACAAATCAATGCAGCTTAACTTACTAAATCTAATATCAGAAGATAAATATATCATTGGTCATTTTTTTTATACATATCAATTTTAGGTGTATTTGTGTCAACCCTATTGTCTTAGAGGAACCTTGATAAAAATCCTAAGTGAGATCAATTTAAAATTTCTGTTATCAGGTTGCTGGCAATATTTTAATAACATTTTTACTTGAAATTTAACACAAGCACTCATATTTTCTGCATTCAGTGGAAAGTTTTGAGCAATACAATCTGGAGAATCTGTCAGTATATAATTTCTGGTTCTGAGATGAAGAGAAACTGTCAGTACACAATACGAAATGGGGAGAAAATACTCCATGCATAAGAATATAATAATACATATTGGAAGTTACAATAACAACTAACAAAGTCAATTCTTCTTCCACATCTCTTAAGTAGAACTGATGATTAACTGCTGAAACAAGCAGCACATGATTACGAAAACAATAGAATTGCTTTTAATTAAAATTAACTTTTCTCTGAAAAACTAAAAGAAAATAATTTTTGAATCATAGGCTCCTTTAGGTCATAGTTTCAATATTTATTAACAACACATAGTGACTGAATTCTTTTAAATAGTGAGAGAAATCAAAAGATATTTTAGAGCCTAACGTTTCTGTCAAATCCCAATGTTGACTGCAATGGCTGATGGGGAGCAACACTTCACCATCTATGATCCCACCTCCAATCTGCCAGTGACAGTAAATAATGTGGTTCAAAGTGCAGAAGATGCTCAAGCTGTGCAGAGCATTCAGTATACCACCACAGCAGATGGTGTGCAGGTGGCTCAGATGGGATCAAATGATGTCATACAGGTAGCACAAGCTGATGCCAGTTTTCAGCAGGCTGCAAGATTCCAGACTATAAGAGCAGGACAGCCACAAGTTATTTCTAATACATCTTTTACTCCTAATACTCAGGTTGCATCAATAGTCCAGTCAAATGTCCTTCAAAATGTGCACCAAACTCAGACTGCCCAGCCTTCTCAAGCACCAGCCATTGGCAGCTCATCTTCCAACATCATCCCACAGATGCTTTTTCTCAACCAGGTTTCAATCAATGGACACACATCTTATGTCCTTGTTTATGCTAATAACAAACCAGTTCAGCTTCCCCAGGGAATACAAGTGATCAATCTACCAACCCAACAACTAGCAGGCCAACCAATCCAGATGCCGACCAGTGATACCGGGGATGAGCCTCTGTGCGTCAATGCTAAGCAGCATCACAGGATATTAAAGAGAAGACAAGCCAGGGCTAAACTAGAATCAGAAGGAAAGATTCCTAAAGAAAGACAGAAATATCTGTACGAGTCTCGTCATCGACATGCTTTGAATCGAACACGAGGAAGTGGAAGCATATTTGTAAAGGGCATGGAGCAGAGTTTCTTCCAGGCGAAGACCCCCCGAAAATTTATTACCGCCCCCCCCCCCCCGAACGAAACGAAATTTATATAATTTATATAGAAAATATATACTTTTAACAGTGTCCACCTCTTCTATTTTTTCGCCTCAGACACGTAATTTATAGCGTCAGTTGTGTGTTCGCTTTAGTATCATCATCATCGGCTTGTGAGGACTGATACAGATTTACAATAGTAATATTTCTTTCTCACTTGTAGCCTACTTTCATTCATTTTAGATGGTTTACTTATACATAGATCTAATACAAAACGTCTAAATATAAAGAAAAAAAAAATAAAAATAAAAAACCAACCTGAAACTGAAAACGCAAATTTGTAATTAAATGATGATTCAAGGGATTTTTTTTTCTCGGCGTGCGTGGTGGGCTGAGGGGAAAGGGGGGGGGGGGCGGGTGGAATTTGGGTTTTTAAGTAGAGCTGAACCAAAAAATTGGGATTACCGAGAATTAAAATGATACAAATTTTAAGCAATCTGAAAAGTTATGTTATTACAATGAGACACATCAAAGCAAACATTCTTCCCTTTCAAACATCTATATCTATACAGTCCTCAAACAGTTTTTTTTTTTTTTTTTTTTTATTAATTCAATTGTTTTAAACTTTTAAATCAGTAATAATAATATATTTGATAGAACATCAATTGCATATATAATAATCAAAGGGAGAAAATAAAATGGCATACGAACTAGATTAAAATAAGATGTGCAAACTAGGTTTCTCTTGACTGCTTAGTTTAGTGCAGGGGTCGGCAACATGCGGCTCTTTTGATGTCAAGATGCGGCTCTTCATCTCGATGCACAAATATAAATACTTATTTTACTTTATTTTTAAAGCTCATAAAAGTATTAGTCTGCGACACTCAGTAATGAACAATATAATAAAAAATATAAACAGTAAACACTCGCTATTATATTAGACCATTTACTGACACGATATTTCAATTTAGACCTACTTCCTTGTTTCCTAAAACTGAGTTATTTAAATATAAAGAATGCCTGTGTTTGGATCATATTTATCGGGGCACTAGCGCCCAACGCCATGGCGTGCTGTGTGAAAGCCTTGAATGTAAGTTAATCACTCACCGTAATATCACCGTTAAGTGGCGCTCTCGTGAATCCGATAACACTACCGCCGGGGCGTCGCGTAGCCCTAGCTCGGTTTAATTATCGAATGTCGTATTGTAGGGTGATCCTTAAAACTAAGGTAGGCGCTTAGTGGTCACGGGATAGCCCTGGGCACCAAATCGCACCCTGCAGTGACGCCGGAGGACGCGCCTAATTCAATTTAGTGAGCGACTATAACAACCTATTGTATCTATAGTCTATCGCGCTGTTTAAAATGAATGTATTGTTGCCCATTGTGTCTATCGTGTACAGCCTTTAAAAAAAACAATATAGGCGCTATAGTGCTCGCAGGGTCGCCGAATGGACGAGGCGCCGGCGGTTGCGTCAGTTGCAGTTTTGCCGCTGAATATAGTAGTACCCCTTGCCCACCATACAGAACGCCCGATTAACGGATGCCAAATACTTAGATAGCCGCTCTGGAACTCTGGGCGCCAAAATGTGTATTGACAAAAAATGCAACACCCGGGCGCCGCCCATAAGAAATTTTAATTTTTTTTTCGCAGCAGTCTTCTCGGGAGTATTTTTATCTACTCTACAAAGTTTTATGGCACTCGGTTAAACTGTGTCGAACCACATACAACTTTTTTTTTACCGTATATAGAGAAAAATCGCACCTCTACCCCAATGGGAGTATTCTCAACAATTTTTCCAAGTTTCATGCGGATCGGATGAAAGGTGTAGTAATGCATAAAAGAAAAACAGACACACACACAAACACACATACATTGTTTTATGTATATATATATATATATATATATATATATATATATATATATATATATATATATATATATATATATATATATATATATATATATAAATATATATATATATATATATATATATATATATATATATATATATATATATATATATATATATATATATATCAAATCCTAATTAAAGATCATAATATTAATAATAAAAGTATAAATATTGGCGGCTCTTTAAAAATTGTAACTTTTGGCTCTTCTGTCTCAAAAGGTTGCCGAACCCTGGTTTAGTGTGCTGCGGAGTCAAAAGTTCACATCTATAATAATAGTTTCGCTGTCTGTCTCCCCGGAGAGGGGTGGGGGTACTTGAAATTTTCGGGGGCGGGGGTAGAATTTTCTGGGAGGGGGCGGACACTGGAAAAAGTATATAATTATATTTCGTTGAATGGGACGGTAGACATGTTTTTTTTTTTTTTGGGGGGGGGGGGGGTGTAGGGGTGGGGGGGTGGTGGTGTGTGTGTGGGGGGTGGGGGGTGTGGGGGTGGGGGTGGGGGTGGGTTGGTTTCAGTGTTTCTTTCAGAGTTTTTCCTCCCCGGAGAGGGGTGGGAGTAATTGAAATTTTCGGGGGCGGGGGTAGAATTTTCTGGGAGGGGGCGGACACTGGAAAAAGTATATAATTATATTTCGTTGAATTGGACGGTAGACATGTTTTTTTTGGGGGGTGGGGGTGGAGAGGGGGGGGGGGGTGGAGGGGTGGGGGGGCGGTTTGTGGAGGGGGTGGTGTGTGTGGGGGGTGGGGGTGGGGGGTGGTGTGTGGGGTGGGGGTGGTGTGTGGGGGGTGGGTTGGTTTTAGTTTAGAGAAAAGAGACAGCACTATCAACCTAGCGCCCGGTGTATCCTTCCTCAACGGGCCATTTTTCTCGTTGTAAATAATCTTTTAAGAAATAATATGTAACATATATATGAATTTTCAATTAATTTCAATATAAAAAAATAAAAAATCGGTTGTAAGGAGTAAAATATATTATACGTTTTTTTACTGATTTTAAAATATGTGTTTTAAATTACATTGTTATTAATGTATATATATATATATATATATATATATATATATATATATATATATATATATATATATATATATATATATATATATATATATATGTGTACATTTATTTTAAGAAGTATATCTATAAATACTTTTTGGTTGTATCCCTTGTTTACTTTCATGCAAAAAGGGAATCAACAAAATCTGTGTTGTTTGTAAGAGAAAAAAAAAATACACCATAAACTTTCTTACTGACATTAAAATATTTGTTTTGCTTAACACGTTTCTAAATGTGTACCTACATTCATGTTCGTTATTTAAAGAAATAGATTTTGTGTGGGTTTAGGTTGTATTCCTTGGCTATATTGATTGTTATAAGGGAAGTAACAAACGCAATGTCAATTGTGTTAGGCACCTCTATTTTAGACACCACAAATGCAATTACAAGATATTATATTTTATGTAGGTTTAAATGCTTAGAACAGGGGTCGGCGGCTCACTAGCCGCATGCGGCTCTTTTGATGTAACGCCATTTTGGGGGTGACACCAAGTCAAAAAAGTTGCAAAATATTTAGACGAAAAATTGCTTTTACCAGTTAATTAATGTGTAATTAGAGTGAAAACGTCTTTTAAATACAAATCCCAACCTGAGTGGGTAGGGGAAACCATGACGTAGCATTGATAAATTTAGAAAAAACAATGCTATTAATACTGTATTAATAACCCCCAATAGATAAACATCGTTACTGTTAACTGTACACATCATCCAAGGGTGACACCAGCTGCAAAATTTACAGAGGAAAAGATGTTAAGTTGAATATTTTCAGTAACTAGTAATTAAAGTCAATCAACGACATTGTTGGGGTGTCACCATATCTAATAATTTACAATGGAAACGGTGCTAAATAGGTATATATATATATATATATATATATATATATATATATATATATATATATATATATATATATATAACCTATATTTTTTTGGGTGGGAATCACCATGATCTTCAGCAACGGGTGACACCCGACCTAACGACTGGAGTAGAGCGTATATGGACAGCGGACAGTCAATTTCCACTAACGACGAAGTGCATATACAAATGTTAGTGGATCTTTAAAAATTTGAAAATTTTGTATTGAAAAGTTGCACTTCCGTCTCAACAGGTTGCCGACCCTTGCACTAGCTGATAGATAGTGTGGACACAAATGAAAAGCCAAATATGTAATCTTTGCAATATGTATTATAGCACTTAATAAAGTGGCTGTTCTGTTGTTTAAACTAGTTAATAAGTATTAACACCTCAATAAGCCTTTACAAATTATGCATGTTCCGTGTTGGATAGTTTACTATTCACATTAAAGTTAACACATCAATTGTGTGTTTTTTTTTTGTTTTTTTTTTTTAATTGTTTTTTTTAAATTAATTCAAATACAAAATCACATATTACTATCTTCCCTCGAGAATGTTCTTTTTGATTGTGGCTTTACCCGAATATACATTCCTGACGTTCCTAAGTCCACCCAGCTCTGATGTAGATTTTTGTAATTGTGTAAGTCTGCTAAAACAATTTTAAAAACATTGCACTTAAAACCTAACATTGTGTTACTTCTGCACCATTATAAAATACATTGGCGCCTCCTTATCCTACCTTCTTCTAATGTGTTATACTATTAGAAAACATAATAATTTAGCCAAAGATAAAATAAGTAGAATTAACGAGAAATACTAATTGGAGAGGACAGGATAACACTAATTACATATATGAGTAAATGTTTACAAAGGCGGTCTGCTTTGTCTGTAAAATCAATTTTTACCTTAATCGGTAGTCAGAATATCTATACTTTCGGTTGTGTTAAATCAGGGGTCGGCAACCTGCAACTATTGATAACATTGCCACGCGTATGTTGAGTTGTGAGTGTAGCTCAATTTTATAATATTTTTTGCGGATAGGACTATCCTAGCCAGCATTATCACAAAGATTATATAATATGATAGACATCTGTCTCACATTTTATGTTGAAGGAGATCTGTTGGATGTATTGTCAATTCTTAGTTTAATTAAACAGTGTTTTTAGGTAAACGT